ATTATTATTATTATTATTATTATTATTATTATTATTATTATTATTATTATTATTAAATGTGGGCGGGAATTTTAATGTACAGCTGTGCGCGACCATACAAATACAAATCAGCGCCTTAAATTTGATTATATGCATTTACGTGTAAATCATACACAAAGTCATATGCGCATACTAACAAACACACATTCACACCTACATATCGTCGGTGTCGCAAGTAATCCACTTCATCCGTTTTGAATTTTTACACCAAAGGTAAAAAACTAGTTTTTGGTGTGTTGTTCCTATCGGGAATCATGAAAATCAAGAAAATTGTTAGCTTTGGCCTGCATTTTGGTGATGCTGAAAAGAGAATCTTTGATAGAGCTTTTGGGAGGGTGTAAAAATTGAAAATTCTCCAAATTTGGACTTACGTGAATTTGGATTTACGGGCATTGCTTGTGATAGCGACATATGCATAATATATTACACACGTAGAGAGAAGCAAGTACCCGAGGATGCGCATTATACTATGCACCAAACTAAACAACTTACAAGCGCGTGCACACACACACACACGCACACACACACACACACACACACACACACACACACACACACACACACACATGTTGTAAGCACAGCGTTACGTCAAGACTCTCTTTGCGTCTTTTTAAATCGAAGGCTTTTGGCCCCCACCCAGGCCACCGGCAGAGAGGGATACGGCAGAAAAACGTAGATACTTGTCATTCCCTCCACACAGGATTTGAACTTGTGCCTATTTCTTGCAACGGCGAAGTGCCTAACCGCAACACCACAGACACTGTTACTGCGGGTTTTTGTCTTTTGCAAACGTCCCATTTTGTGCGTTTTGTAGTTCGGGAAATGTCAAAGATATTGAACAAACTTGAGCGTATTTTATTTCAATGTATGCGTTCCCTATTAATTGTAATAAATTGCATTAAATCAAGGAACTTCAAGACAATAGTCAAATTGATTTGCAACGTTTCATTATATTTATTATATTTGATTCATTTTTGAAGCTGACAAAGTAAGCTCTGCATATTTGATTCGAATGATAGAAAACGTTTAAACAGTTCAAATAATTCGAAAACAGTTCCAAAACAACAAGTATTGTCATCAGACGCCTTCCAGAACGACAAAGAGATGAGAGATGCTAATAGTCTGACTTATCAGAAAGAATATCTGTGGTCACTGAAGGACGTCAATTCTTTCTGTACGAGAACACCATCTGAAGAAGGTCACTGTCACTGTCACTGATCCCATAATCCACGAGGATCGTAGGGGTGCTGTATGACAGAGAGCCTCGTGAGGTTTCTCCACTTTTTACGGTTTTTTTTTGGCGAGCGCCTGAGTTTGGGCCAAGGATTTCCCTCTACACTCCGTAATGTTGTCGGTCCACCTCTTACTTTGCCTTCCTCTCCTTCTCCTCCTCTGCACAGTTCCCTGAAGAATGGTCTTGGATAAGCCACTTGATCTTGTTACATGGCCATACCATTTATATTTTCCTCCACTTCACAGTAGACAGCCAGTCTAAATAGTGACTCATGTGTTGTTACAATTTCACAGCTGTAGCTAGTTGTGGGGTAGCATTAAAATTCTTAACATTTCTTCATATAAGATTACACAATTAAAAACTCGACGTCCTTGAGTTACTTTTGTGGCTTGTGACTGATCTGTTGGGCTCTCTGTCAAGATGTGGATTTATAGTTACAAGGAGTTTGAAGAAACATTAGAGTTTTGACACGGTTTCGAACTGGTCATACCTTCTGGGGGGGGTCCGGACATCGTCCAGTTGTCACGCGCACTGTATTTACGGAACCTCAGAGCTTTTCCACCCTCTATTGATACAAATACGTGTTCTGTCCCACCCGTTGAGCGGTCAGGTGATGAAGATGCTTTAAAAGAAACCACGTTGCCTAACAACTAAGAATCTATGAACGAGATAACAACCAGACACTTTAACAAGAAAGCACCTTATTTTATACAGGCTAGTGAGCTGGACTCCTGTTCTTTTTCCCTAAATGAAAAAGGTTAGCTTATGAGACTCACCAATAGAATAAAAGACAATGCAGGTACGGGCAAGACGATGAAAAACGTTATTTTCGACATGGCCGCAGCCACTTCCGGCCAGGTAGTGCCCCCGTTTCTTGACCTGTGATTACTCTCTCTGTTGTTGACTTCAGAACTTTCTGGTCCTACGTGACTGTTACGAAACTGCTGAGGCGAAGTGGTTTGCGTGGTCTCTCTTGAGGTGCTTAGGGCATTGTAGTGACTTAATATGTGGTCAGATGATCCTCTCAGAGATGTGGGAGTCTCCATAGTCTCACCGGGTGATGGATTGTCCCCTGGGCTGTGCCGCGGCTCCTTTCGTCTCAAGCCACGACACTGCACGCAGGCCACGAGCCATCTGTTAGAGCAAAGTCCTTCCCACGAGGCGACCCGGTCAAAGAGGATGAGGAGCAGACAGGTGAGTGCGCTGAGAGTCATGCAGGCTGCGCCATACACTCCCAGGTTGCTCACGTGCCTGGTGGTACTGGGCAGTGTATCCCCAATGGCGGCGAGAAACACGCTGTTGGACAAGAGCAGCGACACGGAGAACGAGAGACGTTCGCCGTGGTGTAACGGGAGGAGGAGGACGAACGGGTTCAACTGGCTCAGAACCACCACTGGGGCCACGTGAGTCAGCATGTGAAACAGGGACTGGCGGTGCAAGGTCAAAGACATAACAAAACACTGCATCTCCATGGTTTGGAAATCATCGAAAACCAGCTCCATCTTCACGTCGCCGAGCTGCCAATCGTTGCTGTCTCTGTGGGGTTAAAGATAAAGCAAGTCGTGTTAACTCTTTCTAACCCATGCTCGCAAAGTGCAGATGGAGCTTGTCTCCAATGCTATATCGATAGTTCTGTCTTTCTTTACCCTAATATGACCATGCGCTGATTACTCGTGACACTAACAGATTTTAATGGATTTGAAACACGCGTCAAATAGTTACAAGGTTATACGTTGACTACTTAATAAATGTTTATCATATCACTAAATGAACATTTACAAAATTTAGGGACAAAATGTATAAATATTATTTCAGGCACGTAGATTTCAATGGAAAAAAGCCCGTGCAAGTTGTTAGGCAGCAATACATTTAGTATGATATCCATGTCCGCAATAGAGAAATTGTGTAATGAAGTGCATCAGAATAATACGACAAATCATTCTACACTTTCAATTTCGTCGGCTCTTGAATAAACATATTCTATTCACTGGTCCTCTTTGTGCTACGTTGTGTCAGAACATATTGATATACTGTCACCAACGGGAATGATACCAGATGATGATCGCCTTTGAAGAGAGGCAGCGATATATCAACACATAGTTACAGGTTATCAAAAAGGGCAGTGATATTATAATGTTATATTAACGCCACCTGTTACGCATGTCACCTGACCAGCCAGCTTCGAGAGCCTACAACACCAAGCACTCGGGCTATAAAGGAAGAGGAAAGCCACGCAAAAGGTGGATCAAGGGTGTCATGGAAACCCTAAGAAAACATAACATCACAACAGAAAGAGCTGCAGAGCTGCATCTCCACTCGACGCTTAACGGCAACAGAGGATGAAAAAGTAAGTAAAGTAAGTAAGTATTAACGCAAGATTTGGGCTGCCAGGAAAGGCCAGTTCGAAAGTTTGGCGCATGAGCTCACCTGTAAGCGTCCAGGGTATACAGTGCTTCAGGGTAGAAAGTGACGTTATCAAAGTCAGAATTCTTCAAGTTGAAGACAATGCTGCAAACTTGAGTGTCCTTGGGGAACTTTCGGACGTCTACCGGACACCTGTGAAAGATCATGAGCAAACGTTTTCATAGTGTAGGGTGGCGTGGCGTGTTGTGGCGTGCCGAGGCGTGTCGCAGTGTGCCTTGGCGTGGCGTGGCGTGGCGTGGCGTGGTGGGGCGGTGCGTGGCCGGGCGGGGCCTGGCGTGGCGTTGTGTGGCGTGGCGTTGTATGGTGTGGTGTGGCATGACTTGACGTGGCGTGGCGTGGCGTGGCGTGGTGTGATGAGGTGGAGTGTGGCGTGGCGTAGCGTGACGGGCGAGATGTGGTGTAGTAAAATATCGTATTTTATGGCGTGGCGTGGCGTGGTTTATGTGGCGAGCGTGGTGTGGTTTGATATAGTAAAGTATCCTATTGTGTGGCGTGGCGTGACGTGGCG